GCTCGCCTGCGGATCGGAAGGTCGTGGGTTCACTCCCATGCGGAGCCGGACTTTTAAAGAAAAAATGACATTGGCTCCCAGGTCGACCCAGCCTCAAGTGGGTACCTGATGCAGTCCCGGGAAGTATAGGCGGCCGGCGTGATGTTGACTACATCACCCACCTTGTGCCGATTGGTCGATAAAATATATGTCTAGCCCTATATGCCTAAAGGCATAGAAATGGGTCCTTTACTTTACTATAATTATTACTAGTCTGAAGAAGGTTAAGCGGAACATCTAGGATTTGGTTTAAAAAAAGAAAAACAGAGATGACCGAAGTCGAGTTCTTATTAAAAAATAAATTCAGTGAACATTGTCATGAAAACTCAGTGAAGGGGAAAACACCACAGAAGCATTCGAACGTTTTAACTAGTCTTTGTCAACTAGCAGATACACTCTGGCAGAAAGTTCTGGTTGCTCGTCCACTACTGAACTGCAGTCCTGCTCAAGAACCTGAGTGTTGCGTGTGCATCAGTTTTACAGATCTCAAGATATTCTCTTGAATACAGACTGTTGGTTCCTTGCCTCTCTGGCAGATGCACTCCGACTTCAAAGAAAGCTCCCCAATTAGTTGACTCTTACGACATGCTTTTGGGGAGGCAGTTGGTCTATTCTTGTTTTCCCGTACAATAGGGCCCCGGAACCCACACGGGGGGAGAAGAACCACTGACACTCAGGTAATTTTTGTTTTCAGCGTCCCCTGTAGTGCGCAGTCCGTATTGTAAAACTAGTGGAATGATTTTTTTTAAACAACGATGGGCTGTCTTGTTGATCCTCTAGAGTATGGGTAGAGACCCTTTTGTAGGGCAAACAACCCTTTCATATGAGGTCACCAAAGACCACCTGAAAACACATTTTCATAGTAGTTATGAAGTAGTTCCAGCCAAATGAGGAATTGAATTATTTAAGGGTGCTTTACAAGGAAGGTTGAGAACCACTGCTGAAGAATTTAGCACACATGATGAAGGAAGATTTGTCAAGCAGCGGCCGCCATGGTGTAGCAGCTAGATACTTGTGTGGGTTCTGCGGCCCCATTGAGGGTGTGTGTGTGAGGAGAACAAGAATCGCCCCACTGCCTCAATAATAAAGCTTGCGTAACAATCATCTAAATAAGAGCTTTTTTTTTTTCAAAGTTGAGAGTGCATCCGCATGAAAGGCAAGAAACCAACCATCTGTGTAGAAATCAACAAGATTTGTAAAACATATGTACATGCAAAACTCAAGTACTAGAACAAAACTTTCCACAGAGGAAAGGGAGGCTGGGAGGAGGGAAAGATAAAGATCTTTCTGATGCATCATGCACTTTTTGTGTGGTCTTCCTTTTCCTCTGCATTCATTATTTTTCTCTAGCATGGCTCTGAGGGAAGGACACCTGGGGATTCTCGTCAAATGGCCAAACAATCTTACCCATTGCTCTTTAAGGAATTGTATAAGTAGGTTTTAGCTCCAGTCTTTCTGTAATTCAGTACCGGTCATCTTTGGTAAACTTGGCTGTACATGTCATCTTAGGTGAACTTGGCTGTGCTGGTTGCCTTTGGGGAACTTGGTTGTGCCGGTCTTCTTTGATGAAACTTGGCTGTACTGGTCTTCTTTGGGGAAACTTGGCTGTACTGATCTTTGGGGAACTTGGCTGTACCGGCCATTTTTAGTGAACTTGGCTGTACCGGTCATCTTTGATGAAACTTGGCTGTACCGGTCTTCTTTGGGGAAACTTGGCTGTACTGATTTTCTTTGGTGAACTTCGTTCGCACACATACACAGCTAAATTCTACTTTGCTCAAAGCAAAGACACAACACTGTATTCTCAACTCTGTGGTATTAAGGCCCTAATCACAGTGCCAACAATAGGTCTGCCTATTTGTTCTGACAGCCAACTATGAACATAAAACAATTTCAAACAAACCATTTTTTTAACGAACAGTTTACTGACAAAATAATGGCAAGAATCACCTAAGGACAACTTTTTAAAGTAACACAATAGAATGAAGAAAAAAAAAACACTCTTACTGGAAATTTCCTTTGGTACATTTGTATTCACAAGACAATCACTGACGTAGCAGCCAAATAGTAAATATAACATCAGATTCAATGAGCTGACACCGCAATCAATCAAGACAATCTCTTCAGAAAAGAAGAAACACCACTTCAGCACAATATAAAAACTAAACTAACGCAATCCACTTTTATATCACCACACACAGTTCCAAAAGAAGACCTCACTCACCAATAACACAGACTATCTTGCGTACTAGACAATAAAACATTATGTGCCCATATTCGTGTGGTAAAATATACTATTTTCACTTCTAGACATTTTCCAACCACACTGGGGCGATTTTTCAAACCACCTAGGATGTTTTACAAAACAAAGTGGACATTTTTCAGTTTTGAAAAAACATAATAGGTGGTTTGAAAAATGTCTAGCTTACAGCAAAAATTGGTATAAAGTTCACGTAACTGCAAAGAAAGAAAACTAAAAATAAAAGAGTAAAAAAAAATTATTTGAATGCTACTAAAGTAAAATTGTAAAACAATATGTTCTTTGACAAGAATGGACTTAAACCCACCTCATATAATTATTGAAGCAAACAACAGGCATTTAATTAGGAACTAGTAAAAACTGTCATGAAGAAAACCATGATACAGCTGGGTACAATTACATCAACATTACTTCATACAGGTATTGAACGAGTTACAATTCATCCTTTCTCTGCTCAGCTTCTTCTTCGTCGTCCTCATCTTCATCTTCCTCTTCCTCCTGGAAAAAAAAAAAAAAAAGAGTTTTTAGTATAAAAAGCAAGCCAGATTACGGGCAAAAGATTTGGTTGTCTTCCTAATAGCTTGCTATTTCAACATCGAATGCTAGAACATGACATGGAACAGTCAGTGGGAACATTATCCTCTTCTTCGCTACAACCGGCTGTAAACTCCGGCGCTGGTTGTTTGTCCACTTCTGGATAGTCTGTTCTAGAAACAGTGTTGCGTGCACATCCATTTCACAGGTTTGACATTTCATGCAGATTGTTGGTTCCTTGCCTCTCAGGCAGATGTACTCTGATTTCAAACGAATGGCAGAATATGACAACTGGCACTGCATTTCAATTAGGAACACATTATAGAAGTACAAGAGTTGAGCCAAGAAATGACATCCCAGCACTCAGAGCATTCCCAAGTGTGCTCCTTCCTCATCTTCAGCAGCCAGTACAGAGTTCCAATACTGATGGTACCGGTCACAATCAGGTTATATGTCCATCTTGCTTTTCCTGTGTGGTGTGAGCCGACCAGACCCTCTGGTTACACCCAGGTGCCTCATTCTCTCCGGGCCTAATAATCTTGTTTCTCTACTGATTCCATAGCTTTGACCACATCTGCCTAGTCATGTATCAATTAACCCCCCAGTGGTGCAGATCCAGCCAATCTGTCTGCCTGTTTAGAAGTACACGACTGACCAGCGACTGGCATATGATAAAGTAAAGATGGATTTTGTTGCCCTGAGAATTGTTCTGGTCTACTATCCACTTGTTAAAAATACAAGAGCAAGTCACAACAAACAGTAAGGTTGACATGAGACAAAAGACACAACATGCAACTGGAAAACCTGGTGGCATCAAACAGTTTGGCTAAGGCCATCAACAAACAGAATAAGAAACCCATTGAATGAAACAATCCTGTGAAAATGATAAGTTGTGTGCAATCAGGATATCTGTAATCATTAAAACTGGTGGGTGGAGTAGGATAAGTGTTGTAATCATTCATTCAAACTACAGGGTAGAGTAGGATAAGTGAAATCTTTCAAACTGTTTAATGGCGTAGGATAAGTGAAATCTTTCAAACTGTTTGATTATGTAGGATAAGTGAAATCTTTTAAACTGTTTGATGGTGTAGGACAGGTGTAATCTTTCAAACTGTTTGATGGTGTAGGATAGATGTAATCTTTCAAACTGTTTGATGGTGTAGGATAGGTGTAATCTTTCAAACTGTTTGATGGTGTAGGATAGGTGTAATCTTTCAAACAACAGCGTAGAGTAGGATAAGTGTAATCTTTCAAACTGTTTGATGGTGTAGGATAGGTGTAATCTTTCAAACTGTTTGATGGTGTAGGATAGGTGTAATCTTTCAAATTGTCTGATAGTGTAGGATAAGTGAAATCTTTCAAACTGTTTGATGGTGTAGGATAAGTGAAATCTTTCAAACTGTTTGATGGTGTAGGATAAGTGTAATCTTTCAAACTGTTTGATGGTGTAGGATAAGTGTAATCTTTCAAACTGTTTGATGGTGTAGGATAAGTGTAATCTTTCAAACTGTTTGATGGTGTAGGATAAGTGTAATCTTTCAAACTGTTTGATGGTGTAGGGTATGTGTGATCAAACTTTTTGATGGTGTAGAATAGGTATAATCTTTCAAACTGTTTGATGGTGTAGGATAAGTGTAATCTTTCACAAACTGTTTGATGGTGTAGGATGGCTGTGCGGTGTTAGATTTAAGGGGAAAAAGAAAGGAAAGCAGGAAGGGGGGGGGGGGGGGGGGAAAGAAGAAGAAAATGAAAGGAGAGGGAGAGAATGCAGATAGACACTTGCTTCCTAAATGTCTAGGATTTGATTTTTGGCTACCCACTTCTGCGATAAATCTTCCACTTTATACCAACTTCATTATTGCCAGGCCTTGTCCCACATGGCATGGCCTCTCACTGCAGTCCAGCGAGTCACACATAAGAAAGTGCAACTAGTCACACATGAGAAAGTGCAGCTGGTCACACATGAGAAAGTACAGCTGGTCACACATGAGAAAGTGCAGCTAGTCACACATGAGAAAGTGGCAACAGCCAATATATCAGCCAGCATGTTACCCCACACATCTAAATTTCCTGGACAGAAAATCACCCAGAATAACCAGTTTCATAAATTGAAACACGCACAACAAGTGCTGACAATACAAAGCCAGAAGACAGATTTTTCGCTTACTTCTGTTGTGCCAGCTCCCTCTTTGCCATCACTGTCAAGAAACTTGATGAAGTCATTCAACGTCCGAGCACCATTATAATCAATAATCTGTATTTGAAAAAAATAAATTTTTTTACAATAGTATGTTGGTTGCAAAATCAGAAAAACAGTGTAAATATTTTCTGTTAAAAAAAAAAGTAAAAACTGTCTCCTCATGCAGATAGCTCAAGCATCAGCATTTCATGGTATAAAAAGATTAAAATATGCACTGCAGCTTTGTCAATTGGGGTGGGAAACAGTTCTTTATCTTGATATTTTAATTTTTTTAGGACAGCTACAATTAAAATAAAACATCAATAACATGAATTTGAATGGGTCGAGTTTGTGTTAAAATAATTCTTGCTAGCAAGCAACTAATGATACATTACTTAAACTGGCAGCATCATATACAACAACCATATTTCACATTGGCAGCATATATTCAACAAGCACACCTCAAACTGGCAGCACCATATACAACAACCATATTTCACATTAGCAGCAAATATTCAACAAGCACACCTCAAACTGGCAGCAGCATATACAACAACCATATTTCACATTGGCAGCCTCAACAATCACACTCAAACTGGCAGCACCATATACAACAACCATATTTCACATTGGCAGCAAATATTCAACAAGCACACCTCAAACTGGCAGCAGCATATACAACAACCATATTTCACATTGGCAGCAAATATTCAACAAGCACACCTCAAACTGGCAGCAGCATATACAACAACCATATTTCACATTGGCAGCATATATTCAACAAGTACAGCTCAAACTGGCAGCAGCATATATGTTAAACCATATTTTCACTGGCAGCATATATTCAACAAGTACTCAAACTGGCAGCAGCATATACAACAACCATATTTCACATTGGCAGCATATATTCAACAAGTACAGCTCAAACTGGCAGCACCATATACAACAACCATACTTCACATTGGCAGCAAATATTCAACAAGCACACCTCAAACTAGCCACACAAGACACATCAAACTGGCAGCACCATTTACAGCAAACACATTTCACATTGGCAGCAAATATTCAACAAGCACACATCAAACTGGCCGCACAAGCACACCTCAAACTGGCAGCAGCATATACAACAACCATACTTCACAATGGCAGCATATATTTAACAAGCACACCTCAAACTGGCCACACAAGACACATCAAACTGGCAGCACCATATACAACAAACTTACTTCCGACTGGCAGAATATTTTCAACAAGCATATTTTAAACACAATACACATCAAACTGCAAGCGCCAGATACAACAAACACATTTCACACTGGCAGCATATATTCAACAAGCATACTTTAAATTGGCAGCACCATATACAACAAGTATACTTTGAACTGGGAACACAATATACATCAAACATAACTGAAACTGCCAGCACCACATACACACATACCTCATCCCGATTAGCAGGGAAATACTTCAAAGTGGGGAAACTGGTAACTTTGACATCTTCGACCTCATTAGCAGTTGCGTCCATTTTGGCAATGACAATGTTGTCATTGTCCTTGTAGTGTTGTCCCAGCTCCTCATAAATGGGAACCAGCTGTTTGCAGTGACCACACCATGGAGCATCTGTACAAACAACAGACACATGTCACAAGGAGTCAGGTTGTGACAGACAGGTGGGTGAAGGTAGACCAAAAAGCAGACATGAAATGACAAATTAGAACATAGATCGTATTCTGATGCCCAAGGAAAGTCGGGAATAAAGATGAATTCCTCTCACAAATGAGCTTCTTGTATTTTCATGAAAAGTAAATTTAAAAAACAGACCTAGTGATATATTGGGAATATCTTCCTTTTCATCGTTCGCTCGAGTCACGTAAATGTGTTTTGCCTATTTACAGCATAGCTAAAATACTTTGGTCGACACATCCAACTTCTTTGGAATCTGTTATCTGGGTTAACCTTTTCAGTGTTGTGGTACATCTGTAGCCTTAAATGTATGCTTACTTCGACATCCTCAGTGTTGTCCCTAGAGGCTCCGTCAAGGGCAGTCGCGCGCAGCTTGGTCGACTCTCAAGGGTAAGGCAGAGCATGGCCATTCTAGAACAGTGGTTCTCAACCTTCCTAATGCCGTGACCCTTTAATACAGGTCCTCATGTTGTGGTGACCTCCAGCCATAAAACCATTTTCGTTTATACTTCATAACTTTAGGGAATATGTGTTTTCTGAGGGTCTTAGGCAACCCCTGTGAAAGGGTCGTTTGACCCCTAGAGGAGTCACGACACGCAGGCTGAGAACCGCAGCTCTAGCAGTTTTTTAAGTGTTCTAGGTAGGTAGCTATTCATGTGCTCAGATATTTCAACAGTCAGAGGACTTCACCTAAACAATGCTATGTTGTTATCTGTTGCCTATTACATTGTATCACTGTCCTGTGTTTGTAGGCTGATGAAAGCCTCCTAGCTGCAATATTCTTGTTTGCGTTTCATCATTGGTGTTGATTTGTAAATGTTTACTTAATGATTATGCTAACAGACACCAGATGTAGAGAAAATATACTCACAAAACTCCACAAGCACTGCCTTGGACTTATCTGTAACAACTTCTTTGAAGTTTGAGCTCACAAGTTCCCAGACTGGGCCTTTGTTCCAGTCGTCCTTAAGTTCAGCAGACATGAGATGTGGCTGCAAGAAACAAACAATAACCACAACAAATTATATAAACATATTCTATTCTTATCTAGAGCATGGACAATTCATTAACCTGCCCAGCTGCAAGTTTTTCCAAGAGATGTTCAATGGCCATTGTGTATACTATTTACCCCCCCCCCCCTCTCCACAAAATGCACAACTACTAATAAAACAAAATAATTTTGATATTCAAAATCTACGTAATTCAATGGGTGCAACTGTTAAAATTACACACTAGAATATTTCAGGATTTAAAATCAACAGATAGTTCTTTTGTATTTGGGGTATTGATAATGTTTAGAGGTATGGGCTTTCTCGTCAATTGATAAAAACAGATAACTATGTTTCCCCTATATTCCCCCAACAGTATAAAAGCAATACAGTGGAAGACTCCCTGTGTCGGTTCAGAAGCCCCATGCACATAGAGGATAAGGGATGGTAAACCCCCACTATCCGCTTACAAGATGTTATAGACGGCGACGAACTGGAGATCATTTAAAGCTGGGATGCATCTGTGGGTGAGGAACCAGCAGTCTATATATATAAAAAAATCAATGTCCAAAGTCCATAACTGGGAGAACAACCAGAACCTTCCATCAGAGTTCTACAGCCAGTGAACACTAAGAAGAAGAAGAAGAGATGTGTCTGCCTGTCTGTTTCGCAGCACACCTGCATGCCCTAGATAAAATATCAAACAAGGACGGTAACCACCCAGGACCTCTGAAGCGATGTAGGACACTTTGCACATACACAGCCATCTCCACCTTTTTCATGATCACTGTTAGTCTGTATTTTTGGTGAAGAAAGAGAGGAAGAAAGAAAAAAAAATGGGAAAACGAAAAACAAAACATGTAGATATGAGATAAAAAGCAAAACTTACCCGCAGTTTTCCTTCCAGAAAATCGTTGACAAACTTCCTAATGGTGTCTGCATCAACTCCCTCGGAGGTGGGTTTATACTTGGTCATATCCTCGGCAAGAGTTATCAACCTCACAGCAGGCACCTCCTCAGGTTTGAGACCGAAGAATTCCATGATACGTGCGTTATCTTCTTTTTCTGTATCCAGAAAAATGAACAGAACCTAAAAGAAATAAAATAAAAGCTTGATCACTGTGTGAACGTCAGATTCAGGTTTCTGCATGACAGCATAGTTTCTTTAATACTTGCTGCAAACCTAAATCTTTATGCATGTTACTACTGCCCGAGGGGGTCTGCAGCCTTATTTTTGAGGAGGCTATAAGATCAGACCCACTGTCCCCTTAATAATTCGGGTAAGCGCAGTTCCAACTTCATGGAGTTGAGTAGAGTTGATTCAAGAACCAACATCACAGCACTCCCAAAAGCACTTCGCCCCCATCTTCAGCAGCCAGTGAAGAGTTCCGATACTAATGGTGCCAGTAGCATTCTGATTTGTACACAGTCTGTCTTGCCTTTCCTCTGAGTCTCGAGCATCTGCCAGAACCCCTCGCCACTCCCTGCTGCATCAATCTCACCAGACTGGTGATCGATCTGCTCCTCCGAACTGCACATGCTCTCCCACAAGGCATTTTTTTTTTTTTTTTTTTTTCATCGAACACCGGCTGTGAATTCCAGTGGAAGGTCAGGTAATCGTCCGCTTGGACTTTTGGCTTTCACCTGGACCTGATTTTTGCGTGTACAACCGTTTTTCATTTCCCTGCCTCATGGGCAGCTGTACGCCGACTTCGAAGGAAGACGTCAGGCCTATTTCTAGGGTGACTGTGGCCATTGTTTTGTGTGGGTCGGGACGTTGCCTGATTTGTGTGGTGTCCACATTGTCTCCTTTGCCGCAGGTATTGCCCCCGGAGTACCCCTTTGGGTCAGCCCCCTGTGGAGCAGTTAGCCCTCAAGGGAAGGCAGGGGCAGATCATGGGCATTCCCCGCCATCCAAGGAGGCATCCATGTATGCAGAGCCGGCACATGGCTCTCTGATTCTGGGCTCACCCAAGGAATCGTCACGTCCTGCACATGCCTGCTTAACCTCACAACCGTATCAGGCCTCCCGCTCGACAGGGGCTGCGCCCTCTGGAAGTCAGCGGGGAGCAGCCCGTGGGTTTTGGACTTTTGTGACCACACAGATAGGTACATTCTTTTTTCTTCGCACGTTAGATTTCTTTGACGAGCCGTTAGCCCGACAGAATTTTACATCCTGCTCCAGGCATATCGTATCAGTTTTGTCCCAACACTCGGGCGAGTGGGGTCTTTGGGTGTGGACATTCGGTCTTTTTCAGTTCAATACAAATTTTGAGGGCAGATTTTGATCCGTATGATCTAGTTTTGTCGGACATTTAGGCTTAGCCATCCGATGGATGGTTGCTGTTATGGTGTACCACAGCGCGGTGACGACGACACTGAGGGTTAACCAAGGATGTACATGAATGGCCAGCCTATGGATGGTTGCTGTTGTGGTGTACCCCAGCGCGGTGACGACGACACTGAGGGTTAACCGAGGATGTACATGAATGGCCAGCCTATGGATGGTTGCTGTTGTGGTGTACCCCAGTGCGGTGACGACGACACTGAGGGTTAACAGAGGATGTGCAGTGAACAATGTTCTCTTTACTCCGCAGTCTTTTAACCAAGGGTTGTAATTTTGGCTGTACGTTTGGCAGACCTACTCATGTTCCTAATGAGTTATAATAAACATTTTTCACCCAAGCGTTTGGGGGCGGGCTGATGAGAGCCACAAGGACACATCACCCTCTGGGGGCCGCCAAACTCCGAGATCCCCTGACAGCTCTGTTAATGCTCATTTGAGACATTATCCGTGGCGCACGACGAGGACGTGCTGCCGGGGTCTTGCGTGAGGTTCCGTACAACCAGGATATTAAAGGACTGGCGCCCGAGTGACGTACGGAGTATCTCCTTATACACATCATGTTGGACTTAACTTCCCCTCACGCCTGTGACATAAATCACCGCGCCACCCACAAGGCATTAACTTCGAGGCAAATGGGTCAACCTACGGTGCCCTGTTCCTGCGCCAGCAGAAACTTTACAGAAATACTTGTGCCCTGTGACAAAATGGACACAGCAGTCTCAGCCAAGCTAACAGCTCACACAAGCATTCACTGCATAAGGTAGTGATCAAAGAACAACAAATGAAGTATTTTGGACACTTAACAAGAATGCCCTGGTACTTTCTGCCACAGCGAGCCACACTAAAACGTTATAACGGGTATAGAGCAAGTAGAAGACCTTGGAAACTATGGAGTGATGGCATTAGGAAAACAGCCTTACAGAAATGAACATCAGTCTTAATCTTGACAGAGCTCATCAACGAATGTTACATCTTCCCCCGACACTTCGATGAGGCACAAGGTGGAAGAGAAGAAGACGACAGCAGTCTCAGCAAAGCTAACAGCACACACAAGCATTAAATGTATAAGGCAGTGATCAAAAGTGGCAACATAGTCACTAGTAATGCAGTTTCACCATCGATGTGAACAGCAGTTACAGCAGATCAGTAGTTCCACATGCCATAAGTCACCATCAGTTCTCTGTCAACTGGCTACTTGCCATTTTCTTATCTGCAGTTCACAGGACAAACCCATTGAGCACAGGCAAAAAGCATTCCAAATGAAATCCGCAGCTCAGTGTCAAGCTACACATTCAACTCGGTAGCTGGCCAACGGAACTATATTCTCTCAGTCTATATATGGAGGAAAATGCAATGGCTAACTGTTGTCAGAAGCAAAAATTTGCCTTAACTATAAACAGTAATCCTGCTTATCCACCACAATGACCATATGTCATAAAAAGTCAACTAATCAGAGACAAGAAACCAAGAGTCTGCATCCAATAAGCCAGATCTTTAATAAAATAAATGTGCATGCAAAAATCAAGTTCTGAACAAGAAAAGAGTCTAGAAATGGACGAATACACCAAAATTTTTCGGCGATGCAAGAATATATGCTGCAACGGTAACAAAGTGAAAGAGATGTATTTGAAATGCCCTAAACATATACTAATAGCAGAATTTGATAATCTTTGCACTAAAAGATTAAAAGAAATCTCATAACCCCATGCTGTGTGGCATTAGCAGTCACGTCTACCCAGTCTTCTGTCGCATTTACTTTCTCACATGGCTGACATTCAATGCAATGATGTCAAACTGTCCGGCCTCTCTAAATGTTTGCGTCCTCTCCTCCCCAATCCCTCTAATTCTCATTCCATTGCCTGTTTGGTGATTCTCTGCTGGCTTCTTCTCCCTATCATAGCACCATCTTCTCTGTCTTATATCTGTTGATACTAGTAGTTGCTAAGACATTTCTATTATTTATTTACCCGTCTTGAATTCATCCAAGTGAAGTGACACTGTAAATGTAATGTACCATTCTTCTTATTCTTCAAGTCCATGTTGTGTGGCACAATTAGTCATGTCTATCTCCAACCTTCTGCCTCGTGTGCTTTTAATCAACTCTGACACAGATGATCTTATATGCCAAGAAGTCAAACTGTCCAGCATCTTTTCTGTCTCCCTCTGCCTTCCCTCCGACTGTCACGATGTTCTCCAGTTTTCTCCTCAGCACATGACCAAAGAATGCAGATTGTCCCCTTCTAATGTGGGCAATCAGTACTCCTCATGAATCAGTTTCTTTCAATCCCTGTGTGGGTTCCGGAGCTCTATTATTGGGAAAAGAAGAATAGACCCACTACCTACCCCAAAGCATGTTTTAAGAGTCAACTTACTGGGAGCTTCCTTCAAAGTCAGAGTGCATCTGCCTAAGAGGCAAGTAACCACCAGTCTGCATACAAATGAGTCAGATCTGTCAAATGAATGTACAAGCAACACTCAGATTCTGGAACAGGACCGCAGTCCAGAAGTGGATGAACAACCAGAACTTTCTGTTGGAGTTCACAACTGATGAACGCAATAAAGAGGAAGTTTCTTTCAAGACATTTTCATTACTATTTTTTTTATCAGTCCAGGGTATTCTCGTGCATCTATGAAATCACATCTTTGCAGCTTCCAAATAAATTTTTACTAATCTAGTACACCATTAATTCAACAACAACAAACAAATCAGTATTTATAACAACATACCTTTCCTTTGTAGTCCTTTGCAACCACACCATAGTCTTTAATGGCCGGTTCATTGCCCTCTTTTTTCAAAAACAGAAGAAGGTGGTTCTTTCCTTCACCTCCAAATATTTTCTGTGCAGACTGTAATCAAGAGAAACATTGGGAAAATGATTGCAACAAAGCTGAAATGTATTCAATACTATCAAGTGAAATATAAGATACATTTATTCTTAACGCAAGACAAATAATAAAATCAGTTTGTGTTTCTCATTCCCGGCTTCAGGTGCTCAGGGCGGAACTGACAACAGTCAAGTTTATCACAAGAACTTGTCTGTCAGTGTAAATCAGAAAACGATCACTAGAAGATGTTCAGGGAGATTATGGTTTTGCTTCTTGAGCTTCTGGCCGCTTCGACCATAGGCAAATCACACTGTTGCAGAGTTTCTCTGATGTTATCTTTCCATCTTGTTCTTGGTCTACTTCATGTTCTAGGTCCTTCGCTTCCTTCTGTGACTGCCTTGTTTAACAGTGTCACAAGGTATTTCTGTTCAGTTCAGGATGTAGAAAACAAACATTCCAAACTTGTTCCTCATTCAACAAGCTAGACATCCTGTTCTACTGAGGAGGTTTTTCTATGCTGACTTATCTGTATTCCTTTTCTTTGTGGCGTACAGTTACACCTGATTTTCTGCTTCTTGGTATTCCGTATCTGGTGTGTTCTTGTATGTCATGGTGAGGTCTGGTCCCTGTTACCTGTCCCAGTGGGTATTTGCTGTTGGTTGCTGGTATGTGTTTTTCTATGTGTCTGTTGCTGTGTTAGAGCCACTACTGTGATCCCTAATGCTAGGTTTCTGTTCTGTAAGGCCCTGACAACGTATTCTAAGTGTGAAAACCATGTAATTTGCTGCCATTGTATGTAATTGAGTATTTGTTCTGTGCTGAATTTGTCTCTTATGACTTCATTCCTTGATTTATCTCTCATTGTCACTCCTGCAGCCTTTATCTGACACCTTAATGGTTACTGCCTTTTAAAAAAATGAAATAACTGAAGAATTTTACCGAGGTGGCTGGATAAAGATAAACCAAAAAACAGTTTCAGACGAAAAAACATATTAGGTGATTAATCCAAAATAAATTTTGGAAGGATTATCGGCTGCTGGAGAGTAGCTAGAAAGGATAGACTGGTTGATGTTCTATGCTCCAATGGTGAAATGAAGGAAAGAAGATGACTAATAACAAATTACTTCTGCTTCCTTCATCCTATCCAGTCAGATTTACAACAGTATATTTCCTAAACTTTACTTTCCAAATCATTCACAAGAAGCTAACTTTCTCCAAGAAAGCTTACCCAAATGCTCAGATCTACACACACTGACTCAATTTCACTTCTCACACCTTGTTGGGTATTTAAGGCAGCATCTGTATAGTTACTTTTTTCCAGGGATCCAGATAAATACTATACTATAAGTCTGTTTCACTGTTACTTTGTCCTAGCCCTGTACATAATACTTTAATGAGCCATCTCAGTGTTTATTTAGTGTACATCTCTGTGTGTTGTGTTCTGTTTATTTTTGCTGTTTGCTGATGAAGGCTAATCGCGACAGCATCCTCTGTCTGTTCAGTGTAATTGGTTTTGTAAAGCTGACTATTTTTTTTCCTTTTATCCTTCTCTCCTAAAAGGTTCCATCTTTTCTAAACACTATTAACCTCTTCTTTATCATTCCAAACCACTGAGGTTTATTCCAGCAGATATCACCCCCCTCCATTAATCTCTGTGAATGGCTTTCTCTTTCAAGCTGATGGTAAACGAGGCTGTACATTATCTCTCCACGTTCTTCTTGGTCTGTTCTCATTTAGTTTTAATGTGCATCTAGGTTCTGTCTCTCTGCTATCTGCCATTCTCTGTATTTGCCTCAAACACTGCAATGTCCCAACCAATGCAGTCTTTTTGCCCCTGTGATAACAGCAATTAGTGGTAATTTAAACAGATTACGAATGTCTTATCTGTTGCTTCTCACTCTCTGTTCTCCACTGTTGGAATATTTAAAGCACCTAAAGATTTGTCAAAGAAATTTGGTTCTTAAAAAGTTTGCAAGAAGGCTTAATCTTTTTTAATTGTACCCCAGGTTTCAATCAGGTCTTATCAGTGTTCAAAGAGAAATTAATTAAAACAAAATGTTGATAGTATACAAGCACTACTTGGCAGTGCTGAAAAGTTACAAGCTAGCTTGGTTCGGGCACGTGGTGAGACATGATTAAACTGCAAAGACTGTACTTCAAGGAACATTGAGCGGAGTAGTCAAAGAAAAGGGCAAAGAAGAACCTGCAATGACAACATCAAGAAGTGGACAGGACAAAGTTATAATACACTTTTTTAACAAGTGGAAGACAGAGAAAGATGCTACTGCTTACATCGATATATCTCCATGACCCTAATGGGTCACGTTATGTTATGTTAGTACACAAGATACGAACAGTTTACATACCTCCTGAGTAAACTCAATCACAAGTGGAAGTTTGTTTGCAGAAATAAACAACCTGATTTCATTCTCGTTGAGTTCTCCATCATAAACACTGCGGCCTTCGTCAAACTGTGTACAAATTATGTGACAAACTTAATTACCCGAACACCTGTTTAAAGTTGCCAAAAATTGAAAGCAAATTAGTGCACAACTAAAAAGTAAATATAATTTGAGGGGGATGTAATAAGTCTTATACCCCTACTATAAAGTTCTTTACCCTTACTGCAAAGGAGCAGCAGAAGAAAGTTGAAATAAAGCATTGTTAAAGCTTTGTAGATTTGCATCAAACACGTAAAATATGCATTTGCTTCTTGAACGAGAACTACCATGGTACACAGTGCATATATACCATATTAACTGAAATTTCTGCTCCAACGATGTGTCAGAACAATAGTGAAGTGAGCAGTGCTGTGATAAAATCCCTAGTCAATCAAATAATCAGGTGCCATCTCTACTATGAGAGGTGATGGATCTCCAACATGCTGTGTATCCTGTCTTGCTTGCACACTCTTCCAGACTGCGGTTAATCGCTCTTACACTTCTACTGTTGCCTACCTCCTGCTTTCTTCCATTCTCTCTAGAACAGTTTTTTTAAAGAGCGTTAAGTCTTTTAATGTTGCCAAAACATTTCAACTGTCACTTTCTTTTTATTTATTTCAGTAATTCTCTTAATGTGTAGTCTTTCCTGAATCTCAGTATTGTTTTTGTTTCCATGATATACGACCTATCCTTCTGTGTATCCACTGTGATGACACATAGAAAAATACCAGTGGAACACACATTGGTAGTGTCCAGTGGAATGGAACACACATTGGTAGTGTCCAGTGGAATGGAACACACATTGGTAGTGTCCAGTGGAATGGAACACACATTGGTAGTGTCCAGTGGAATGGAACACACATTGGTAGTGTCCAGTGGAATGGAACACACATTGGTAGTGTCCAGTGGAATGGAACACACATTGGTAGTGTCCAGTGGAATGGAACACACACTGGTAGTGTCCAGTGAAAAACACAGGAAGATGGTACCAGTCTTTCACAATTCCCACCCTTTGCATATCGGCATATCACTGGTGTGGACAGTTGTGCAGCAACACAAATCAGCCAGGGTATAGAAAAACGTCTCTAAAATGCAAGAAACTCAACTGCGGCAAGAAAAAGAAACAAAAATTTACTGGCCCAATTCAAGACTTGAAAACTGGAAATTCAAAAAGCACTAAAAATTCACAAACAAAATCTATGTGTTATTCCTCTATATGCAGTGTAAAGACTTAAGGCAATCTCCATGCTTTTGTTGGATCCAGCAGAATTGTTGATTACTGACGCTGACTCAGTCAGAAATTTCCAGAACTATCAAGAACAGACAAAAATAAAGAAGGCATGTTTACAGAATTTTGTTTTTACAATTTTGAGCGATAACTGCTGACACCCATGCATGTGTGTGCAATAAATGTGTCACATTTAACCCAGGCACATAGGAAACTGCACTGGCATGGTGGTAAGAAGCCGGCTAGCCTTTACAAAGGTCTTGGGTTTTTGACCACACCAAGCAGGAATTTTTTTCCAAAATGCTCTTGGCTCCCAGGGTGATCCAGTCTATGATCCAGAAAATGAAGGTGGTTGGTCTGCCAAGAGCCAAATCTATACTATAAATCACAACCGCTTTCTGTATTTCGTGTTTATTATAAATAAAGTGTTAACTCCTCCTAAACCGTGACCAATACACAGGTTATATTTTCATTTGCTATTATGACTACAATCTTCTTCTTCTTCTTCGTGTTCACCAGTTGGCGGAAAGTTCTGGTTGTTCATCAACTTGTGGACTGCAGTCCTGTCCCAGAACCTGAGTGTTGCGTGCACATCCATTTTACAGATCTGACTCATTTGTATGCAAACTGCCGGTTTCTTGCCTCTCAGACAGATGCACTCCTACTTTAAAGGAATTTCCCAATTAGCTGACTCTTATGACATGCTTTTCGGTATGCAGTGGGTCTATTATTGTTTTCCCTTTAACTAATTACTAATTTTTTACATCTTTATATATTTCAACAACAATACACAATTTTTAAATGTAGATTAAGATTAGTACAAAGTGATAAGCGACCTGTGAAAAACATTTTTTTTCTTAACAGATTATTTTCCAGAATTCTAAAGAGGTCATGACAAATTTGTTTATAGAGTTCCTGCGGTGGCAGGGATAAAATGAGTTACAGCACAATCTTCCTGATAAACAAAGATGGTCAGCATGTTCCCTCTTTTTTTCTTATAATTTATGATCTCTTTTTTTCTTCTAAAGACAACAGTGACAATAACTGCAAGAAACCTAGCATTCACTTGTTACAGATCTTTGAAACAAATGTTGCTTTTGAAAAAAAATTAGTGAACAAACCCTAAACAAATTCTGATATTTTCTTTTAAAGATTTTAAGTCTGTTTAACCTAATAAGCCTAGCTAAACCCAGACCTGATTAACTGGTCTCTGGCTCAAAGGTTTCTTCCGTGGGGGAAAATAACTGTGCAAACAACTTTTCTAAGCCTTCCATATAACTGTTCTCTCCCCATATTTTGAAATGGCTAAGCATGTAAGCTGCACCTTCTTTAATGGGACTGTCACCAGCTAACATTTATGAAGGTCAGCTTCCCTAGTTTACCATCTGAATTGTCTCTACCAGTGGTTCCCCACTTATTTTAAAAAGGTCTACCATGAACCCTATACTTTTTAACAGTAACACTGAAGAACATATACCTATGAGAATCTCAAAAAGGAGGGTTAGTGGCTAGACGCTCATCTGCCGATCAAAAGGTCATGGGTTCAGGTCAGGAAGGAGCTGGACCTTTTCCCCCAAAAAATAACCTTACCTTCAGGGTCGACCCAGCCTTGAGTGGGTACCAGGATTAACCCCGGGAAGTAAAGGCAGCTGGTATAATGATGACCATATCCCCCCACCCACCGAGTGAGGATAGGTCTATTAAATATATGTCTAGCCCTATATGTATGCAAAAAGATTCCTCTACTTTAAAAAGGATTGGATTTTCAAGTTGAGGTTTTGTGTGTGTGTGTGTGTGTGTGTGTGTAAATAAAAGCCCAGACCTTGTAAATTTGTTCTGCCGACCGTGTGGGTCTGCAGACCACCACATAGAAATTGATCGAGACAGCTTTGAACTAAAGGGCAGCAGTCATGTGTCAACACCAGCTGTCATTTTTATTTATTTTACACTTGTTACAACTATCATTTTATAGCCTAGAAACTGTATCTTCTACTTTATTCCCCCCAAAACAGAAAGATGAGGAACATTATGGGTTAGGTTTGAGTTAGTCTCTCCAAACAAAGTAGGTCACGTTTCAGTCACAAGTTTGTTAGGCTGGTCTACTTTCCTGCAAGTAACAGGTGTGCTGCTGTTGTTTGCTTTCTGGGTTGTCTTGCATTTACGTTTTTATCCAGAAAAAGAGAATGCCTGAGACATAGGTTGCAGCACTCTCTCGAGGGGCTGTGTTAGACCCAGTTTGACCATGTTTTTGGAGTGTTAAAAGCACTGGCGTGCTAAAATATACAAAATGTGATATCAACGGCATTGCAGAACACTCCCTTAACCTTAAACCAAGGTAACGTGGCCAATGTGTATATGGGTGGTATTTGGGTAGCGAAACATTACTTTTACCCACATTTTGAAATTCACATGAGTCAACAAGGAAATCCTAAGACTCCATACAGATCATAAGACAACAGAAAATCTTGCTTATCCAATCAGCTAAAGATAACAATAATGAATATAAAACCTATTTTTATTTTCTGGTGTTTCCCCTTTAATGGGAAATCTGGAATGCTGTGTTGTGATTTACAGCTAGGCCTCACACATCCGATTTCAACAAACCTCGTCTATTACATGCCTGCTAGGTTGAAACAGATCTTTTCCAAAATGGGCCCCCGGGAATCCACACAGAAAAAAGGAACTAGTAAAACTGATGGCAAAATAACTGCAACAGCACTGTCCAAAATAAGCAGGCCAGAGAACATTATTTTTGTCTACATATCCAGGTTAGGATAAACTTGATAGAGACAACAATTTCTCAAGTTTGCTGCTTGCTTTAAATATATTCAGACCGATAGTTCACTGCATTCTAAAATGACACCCAAAGAACTACAAGAATGGCATAAACCGGGCTCTGATACTACCTTTATTGTTTGTTTCCTCTTTTACCACTTCCAGAATTGAGGTTCTGCTTCTTGCTCTTTCGTTTATAAAAGCATGCAAGTATGCATGTGTGTGTGACTGTGTGTGTATGTGGATATATGAAAGTACATTTAGGTATGTATGTATGTGTGTAAAGATGTGAGTTTATGTATAAATGTGTGTGTGTATGTATGTGTGAATATATGTATACATGTATGTGGGTGCATGTATTCATATAAGTGTAAATGTGTTGTTTTGGGCATATGTTGGTGTCTGTACATGTGATTGTAAATGTGTGTATGCATGGGTGCATGTATAGATGTGTATGCATGGAATGTGTGTGTGTGTGTGCATGTATATCCATAAATGTGTATGCTTGTATATGTATGTAGATACATGTGTGAATGTAGCATGTATGTCTGTTTATGAGTTCGCATGTAGGAGAACACAGGAGTATGTATACGTGTGTGTGTGAGTGTGAACGATTGTGTACACATGATGTGTGTATGCATTATACTATAATTTATATTTCTTTATTAAATCCATAACATGCATTATTGATAACAGGTATTGGTACTCTGAAAAATGAGTACTTAGAAGGGCTGAATGTCAGACGGGCCTGCGTGCCCAATTTGTAACCCTTTGAGTATAGTCAGAGATCAAAATGTTGGAAATAGGATTGTCAAGGGCCAGACTTCCTTACCAAGCCCTCATTTGGACACCACAGGGGAAAAGATCTCGTGGAAGACCAAGGGAAACCCTACGAAGAACTATCATCAGGGAAGGCTCACACATGGGCCACTCAAACATCCAAGACCTACAACAGATTGCAACGAACCGCCATGCATGGAGAGTCATGACCTCTGCCCTATGTGCCGCACTCAACACAAGAGGAAAGACTAACTAACTAAGGGCCAGAGGACCGATCCATACCATAGAAAGATCATTAAAACAGTACAACTGGCAATGACTCGCAGGCCACTTGCTAGGTCGTCGCGAGCCAGATTTGGCCCGCGGTCCCCCAGTTAAATAGCCTTGACCTTGAATAGACACATCATGTTGCCTGCCGCAGAGCTTCCCTGATGTTATATTTCCACCTTCTTTTATGAGAGATCCTAACACGGACAAGTGAATGCGAATGAGGAATCAGGTGAAGAACCATATTAAATAAACTGTCAATCTCACCTTTTTGAAGATAACAACGGTATCCTTGTCCACTTTGTTGTCAGCAAACACATCACTGTTGGAGGTGATCCCAAACCTGACGTCATCGAGAGCACTGGCCACTTTCAGGAATTCCTTGGCTTCGGGGCTTTCTTGGTCCTGAAAGATAAGAAACAACTGTTATAACAACAGGCATTCAAAACAACCCAGACAACAGTCATGTCTATCAACCAAAAGGTGCAAATATCACAGCTATGCTGTAAACATATGCACAGCATAATTATGTCAGACAAGAATGAAGGCAAAATTTGATAAGTGAGCATGTGGTTCCTAGGTTGGCCTGATCTAAACATGGATACCAGGAAATGTCCCCAGAAGCAAAGGTGAGCATCACCCACTGAAGCGGCAAACTGGTCTATAAGGATCTTCGGTTTTTATTAGCCAACCACAGATGACGTCACGGGACAGTCCAATATTTTAGAGTGTGGTAATAGCGGTTTTCTGTGCTTTAGCGTGTTTCTTCCAAGGTCAAAGTTTTTTTCCGTTTACCTAACCCTAACCTAACTAAAACTATAAGCTTAATCGACCACCCACTGACATATTTGACTGTCCCGTGACCTGTGAATTTTCCCTGTTTGGCTAATAAAAAAGTACAGAATCTAAAAGCCATGTGGATCTATAGTATTATTCAAAGAAATATGGAAGCAAAAATTCTTAGAATACAGTGGTCCAAGAAGAAAACAAAAACTGGCATCCTAAAAGATCTCAACATCATGGAAGATTGGCTAGTAAACAGCATATAGTCTCAGAAGTTGAAATGGTGCCATGGCGAGCTGGAATAAATAGAAAAAAGCATGGTATTAAGTACGGGGCAGGGATCGACCAGTACAAAGATGGACAAAGGATATAAGTGACACATTAGGGCAGGATAGTGCACAAAGTAAGAGAGCTGGTGAGAGACCTGAGTTACTTTCAGACAGACTGATGACAACAACATCCTGCAAAGGACCTGCTATATGCTGATGATTCTCAATGCTACAATAGCAGTAAACCCCCCACCGCCCCCAATATATTTTTACCCTATTTTTTGTTTGTCAGGAAGAAAAACACTCAAGCAATCACCTTAAAAAATCCAACGACGACAACTTCTCCCGACTCTTTGAATGCATCTGTTTCTGCTTTGCTGTTGAGAACAGTGGCAGGGGGTCCTGTCTTCTTCAGTAACCAGCTCACTATTTCTGCGGCCTGTCGACCTCCTTGAAAATTAAAACAGAAAGCATAAGTTTTGAGTTTTCTTGTCGGATAAACAATCTGTCAATGTTACCATACACTCACTCAGTGGTACTTTAGAAGAAAAATCTTGTGCAGGTTCCGAGCTCCACTGCGAGAAAAACAAACAAAAATAGACTCCCGCCCAAAAACGTATGTTGTAAGAGTCGATTAACTGGACGCTTCCTTTGAACCCGGAGTGCATCTGCCGGAGCAGCAAGGAACAACCAACTACACACAAATAAGTGGATGTACACGCAAAACCCAGGCCCTGCCACAAAGCCCAAATGGACGAACAACCAGGGCTTTCCGCAGGAGCTCACTGCCCATAAACAATGCAGAAAAAAAAATTATTATTACGGTCAAAAGGAGCAACTTAAAATAAATTGTTAAAGCATAGTGTTGTTGAATGAATCACAGACAAAACTACACACATAAAAGAATTGAATGTGAACAGGCAGACAAAACTACATACATAAAACGAGTTCAGTGGGAAGAGACAGACAAAACTACATATACAAAAGAGTTCAATGGGAACAGATAGACTAAACTACACACACAAACGTTAATTGGGAAGTCAGACAAAATTTCAAACACAAAAAACATAATGGGAACAGACAAGGAAGACCTATGAATATGTCTTCAGAATATCTTCCTTGTCCAATACCAGTGTTCCAGTAGCTTTCGCATTTGTAGCCAGAAAATCTGCTCTTTCATTCCCTCGCACTCCTGCATATCCCAGACAGTATATCCACGTGATTCCCTGCAATGTTTGCACACTGATGCATGGTATCCACTCGTGCCACATAGTCCATTTTAAACCTTCTGCAGTCAGACACAATAACTCCTCTGGTAAATGTTATACTTCAGCTTAAGACACAAAAGGGGAGAGGGGCAACATGAAATGAGACAAGAATTGCAAAGTGGATGGCAGTTTAAATTACAAGCCTGTCTCTGCTTTTTTTAAATACAGTGTCAATTAATCTCATCAGTTTTATTACCTTGAAATAATGCAGACACAAACAATACATTGCACAATTTACTGCCAGGCATATTTTGCTGTATCTCGTCAGGTGCGTTAATACAGAGTTACACGAACATAAAATAAAGCACACAAAAATGAACAAATCTAACGGAAATGTGAATAGTCTTTCGCTGCATCGTGTGTTTATCTAGTCGCTGGAAGTTCACCGTAGTCACATGACTTACCAGGGTAAGCTTCAAATCTTCAAGTTTTATTTTATCCCCAGAAAAATATACAAAAAAGTGAACTGCCATAACAAGGTGTAACCTCTTATTATCAATAAAGTGAAGACCAGTGGCACTGCAGAACTTCAGCTTCTTAGAGTTCAAGTGTTCAGTCTATTGTGCCCATGAGTGTCTGTCCCAGATCAGAAGTTGCAGTACCTGCATACGAGCAGCCACTGGTGAGATCAGTTCAGCTTGGCTGCTTGTGCAGCAACTATCCTGTTGGCAGCATAGGATCCAAAGGTGTATGCTCTCTCAGCTTCTCAATGTGCTTGCTCTCTCTCTCTCGTGTGTGTGTGTGCGAATGTTTTTTATAGTTGGGTTATCATCATTGCACTTCTGACATGTAAACAGGTGCTCAGATCCCTCTTCAGTAAGAAACCCAGCATCCCATGGCTATTAGTATTAAGTCCTCTGATATGCCTGGTGTGTCTTATTTTTTTTACTATGCCAATCTTAACTCCCAAGTCTATCATTCTGGCCAGTGATGTGGATTTACTACCCCAAAGGCCTTCACCCTTCCCATTTCTCAAAGGGCATTAATAATATCAGCATGATCCATAGGTTGACCATCGGCAGTGACAGCATTTCACGGAACCAAAATCAAGGTGACTCCCAACAGTGGACTTTGTGTATATGTGTATGTATTTATGAAGAAAACAAATACTGACATTCTAAAGGATCTGAATCTGAACATCAAAGAAGATTGGCTAGTAAACAACCAGTTGTCCCAAAAACAAACATTTTGACAACAGGCATACAAAAAAAAAAAAAAGGTAGCAGAAGGCATGGTGCCAGGAAAGAGCAGCATAGGATATAAGTGACACCTTTGGTAGGAAAGTGCATTAGGCGGGAAATCTGGTGAGAGACAGTTTCTTTCAAGGAGGCTGTGACAGCAGTGACATTCTGCAAAGGACCTGCTACATAATATATATATATACACAAGCATATAGCCAGAAATATATATATCCACAATAATCCAGCCTCTTTCTAAACTTTGTTGAGGTGATGGCACATAATTTCATTTTTTCAAGTCATGAAAGACTTTTAGGCCCAAATTTCATCTACTGGTTTTGAGTACTGAATTGTCAACAGATTCCCCAAACAAGTCCCCTTTGAGACAATAAGTAAAGTCTAGAAGACTGACTCTACTGCACCAGGTTGTATCCCGTATGGCAGTCTCGTTCTCCCTCTGCAGAATGGTTAGCTGCCTGCTGAGTGTCACACAAAGTACAACTACACAGCTCCAGCAACAATCCCCATGAATCTACAATCTGAACAGTGAATATGTGAAATAAACCCACTATTTTTAACCAGAGCATAAGGTAAACGGCTTGACCACTTGATTCAAGGCACCACATTTGCTCAGCTTCTGTCTGTAAGTATCATGGGAACACAGTAAACGACCTTCTTCCACGCCTTTAGGCATATTGGGCCTATAGAGCTAGACCTATATTTTATAGATCAATCGGCACTTGGTGGGTGATTTGGTCAGCATCTTGCCGACAGCCCTGACTTTCCAGGACATCTGGTATTACTTAAGGATGGGTTGAGCTGGGAGTCAGTCATTTTTTTTTAAAAGTGCGACTGTCAGGACCCGAACCATTACCTTCCGATCCGCAGGCCAGTGTCTAGCAACCATGGTGACTCCCAAATGCAACACTTGGTCTGTTATTATTTATTTCATGTCTGGTCTGCGTATGCAAATGAAATCTGGCCAAATATTTCAAATGCAGCGCAGCATATGATGTGTCTCTGAAAGGCACACACTGACGCCCTTTTCACTGTGTCAAATGTGGTTTCCCCTTTATGACTGAAAAAGTCGAAGGATCAGGCAAAGTTAGGGAACTATAACAGTTTGAAGTAACTACCTGCATATTCACTGGGAGTTCCATTCCTGAAAAACTTCAAGGTTGGGTAACCTCGGATTCCGTATTCTTCGGCCAACTCAGGCTCGGATGTTGCATCTACTTTGGCCAGTTTAATGGCACTGCCCTCTTCTTTCAGCTGACCTGCTGCTTTGGAATATTCGGGAGCTAGTGACTTGCAATGGCCGCACCAAGGAGCATCTGAGTTGATAGAATTGGTGAAATGTTACTGTATGTACATAAACAAGAAACTCATTTACCAATCTAATCATACTGTACAAAAATATAGTCACAGAAACCAGTACTAGGACCTACACTGGTACACAAGACTAGGACCTACAGTGAGAGTTTACAAGACCAGGACCTACAGTGGAAGTTTACAAGACTAGGACCTACAGTGGGAGTTTACAAGACTAGGACCTACACTGGAAGTTTACAAGACCAGAACCTACAGTGGGAGTTTACAAGACCAGAACCTACACTAAGAGTTTACAAGACCAGGACTTACAGTGGAGGTTTACGACTAGGACCTACAGCAGGAGTTTACAAGACTAGGACGGGAGTTTACAAGACCAGAACCTACAGTGGGAGTTTACAAGACCAGGACCTACAGTGGGGATTTACAAGACCAGGACATACAGTGGGAGTTTGCAAGACTAAGATCTACAGTGGGAGTTTACAAGACTAGGACCTACAGTGGGAGTTTGCAAGACTAAGACCTACAGTGGGAGTTTACAAGACTAGGACCTACAGTGGGAGTTTACAAGACTAGGACCTACAGTGGGGATTTACAAGACCAGGACATACAGTGGGAGTTTGCAAGACTAAGATCTACAGTGGGAGTTTACAAGACTAGGACCTACAGTGGGAGTTTACAAGACTAGGACCTACAGTGGGAGTTTACAAGACTAGGACCTACAGTGGGAGTTTACAAGACTAGGACCTACAGTGGGGATTTACAAGACCAGGACATACAGTGGGAATTTGCAAGACTAAGACCTACAGTGGGAGTTTACAAGACTAGGACCTACAGTGGGAGTTAACAAGACTAGGACCTACAGTGGGAGTTTACAAGACTAGGACCTACAGTGGGAGTTTACAAGACTAGGACCTACAGTGGGAGTTTACAAGACTAGGACCTACAGTGGGAGTTTACAAGACAAGGACCTACAGTGGGAGTTTACAAGACTAGGACCTACAGTGGGAGTTTACAAGACCAGGACCTACAGTGGGAGTTAACAAGACTAGGACCTACAGTGGGGATTTACAAGACCAGAACCTACAGTAGGGATTTACAAGACCAGAACCTACAGTGGGGATTTACAAGACCAGAACCTACAGTGGGGATTTACAAGACCAGGACCTACAGTGGGGATTTACAAGACCAGGACCTACACTGGGAGTTTACAAGACCAGGACCTACAGTAGGGATTTACAAGACCAGAACCTACAGTAGGGATTTACAAGACCAGAACCTACAGTGGGGATTTACAAGACCAGGACCTACAGTGGGGATTTACAAGACCAGGACCTACACTGGGAGTTTACAAGACCAGAACCTACATGGACAATGACACCAGAAGTGATAGTGACAAAACAATGCTAGTTTCACACAAAGCTACACACCTCACAGTCTGAGACATCAAATATAGTGACCCAGTGTTATTTCTCGGGGGGGGGGGGGGGGGGGGGGGGGGGGGGGGGGGGGGGGGGGGGCAGGGGGGGGGGGGGGGGGGCAAATGGCAAAGGCTGCAGAGACACTAGTACAGCACCATCTGCCACAGAGCTTTAAAGAAGCCAAGACCTGAAAGTAATTCAGAAAGACAAACAAGACAGGACAAAAATTACAGACCAGAGCATGACAGTGTAAACAGGCTAGGCAGAAACGCCCAGACAATCTTCAGACTTTAAATGGGACACTAAACACCTACATTGAACGGGTCCTGCAAGCTCTTCCCCATACGCTGGCGCACCAAAACAAATTGCACAGCACATCTTATAAGACTGTTAGGGCTTTGCCAGTTAGATTGGGAAGGGGGGGGGGGGCCGGGTGTTGAGATCCACATAAGCAATGCTTCAAATAGGAATGGGAAAACCAGTAAAGACCCTGTTCATCACACACACACTGGAACAGGCGTGTAGCTAACATTCGGTGAAGAAGAAGCTATCAAAGTTGCCAAAATCATTTAGAATTAAATTATTTTGAGATGTTTCCCATATTTTGTTGGATAAAACAAACAGTAAGTTACTGTAATTCTGGCCATTGTTAATCAACCATGTTGTATATATACTGTGTCATTTTTATTGAAGTAATCACTATTTTCAACATAGCTAGATAGTAAGTGACACAACTGTTAAGGCAAACGGAAGATTGAAATGGCTTAGGTATCTCTTGGGCTTTGCAGATTGTATCATGACACTTTGGTGAGGACACGGATCACTGTGATCACAGATACGCAATTTAAAAAAAAAATTAAAATCCACATTTATTCGTTATTTGATGCATACATAATATAAGTTTAATGCCATGACAGAATGAATGAGAATCATTAACTGGGAGGATACATTGACAAATCCTGCTGATAATAGTAAATACAGTTATACGCCAAAGAAGAAGCGCATGGGCATTTACAGCACGCTCAGTGGGCAGAACAGTCAAAGAAGCCAACGGCGCCTTCTCCATGACAACCAGCAGCATGACGATGGAGGTGATGGCAGTGACGCAAGCGTTTGCCTGGCTTGAAACACAAAAATACACCCGCATATGTATACTCAGTGATTCAATGAGTATGATCCGGAGGGTTCAGGCAGGTTCAGTGCGAAGACAATGGCTTGAATCAATTCAGAAGTCCACTGTGCGAGGAGTCACCTTTATTTTTTGTTCCGGGGACACGCATCGATGGAAATGAAAAGAGCTGACAGGTTGGCTGGTATCCGCTATCACTACCGACGGTCGGCCTATGGATCATGCTGATATTATCAATGCCCTCAGAGAAATGGGAAGGATAGAGGACTTTGGTGGCAGTGAATCCACATCACTCGCCAGAATGGCAGACTTGGGAATTAAGATCGGCACAGCAAAAAACGAGACGCACACCGTACACGGCAAGTCAGAAGACTTGTTTAATCAACATAGAACTGGTACTATTAGCCATCGGACGTTGGGATTCATACTGAGGGCAGGATCTGAGCACCTATGGACATGTCCGGAGTGCAATGATGATAACCCAACTAACTAACTAACTAACTAACTAACTAATAGTAAATAACGGCTAGATCTCTACTATAGAACTTGCACACACAAAAGGGCATAGTGGGAGACCTAAAGTACACATAGCATAACTAACGTGAAATGAAAAGAGACCTTGGCTGGAGGTGGCTGAAAGTTTGTTTCTTTAAATGCCAAAGAACAGTCCCAGCAAGATGGCGGATAATATACTGGCAGAAACTGTTGCTGGTGTACCAATGGTAAATATGAAAATGACTAAAAATAGACAAAGATGTTAGAATTGCACGGTGCTTATTACTTTACACTTTTTGAATTGACTTTACACATGCAGTGTGTAAGGTGCATTTTTGGTATACTATCCTCTATGAAGGCGAGACTTTGTCCCCAGTGAATAACAGAAGAGTAGGAATGCCAACTATGTACTTTTTCCGTTAAGTAATAATTTTTGGAAAATGACAGAAAGATGCCTGTGCTGGTTTGTACGTCATAAAGTCTCACCCATGGAAGATGGCCGTATTCCAAATGATCTCATGTATGGTGAATTAGAAACAGGGTAAAGACATACAGGAAGTCTACAGTAAAGTTAAATTATAGGCACATTTTGAATATTGCGCAATCACAAAGTGAAAAATACCAACAGTACACTGAGAGTCTCTTGGGAAAGATCAGTATGTATCTAAAAAGAGAAAATAGAGCAAATAAAGACATAATAAATAGAATAACAATATTTTGAAGCAGACTATGCGGCAGAGACTGTCACTCCAAAATTGGCATGACAGTTATAGCAGACGCTGTACTAAAAACAGGCGCCAGTCACAGCTCCATTCAGTTGACAGTGTCTGCAACGCTGAACAGTTTTGCCAATTATTTCTATACATTGTTTCCCGGTTAATAACTAAAGTAAACAGATAAACATTTGAAAGCGTCATATTGACTGTTTCTTTTGAGCCCTGCTTGCCTACAAAATGTCGTAATGACACGACATGTTTAAATCCAGTGTTAATTTATAGCTCTGATAAGAATACATGAATAAATTAATATAAGATCAAGTCACGTAGACAACAGGAGTTTTCAGCGAAAGTTAAGCAAGCGATCTTGCTGCAAAGCAAACAATGCTACGTACGCAAAGAATTTAAACACGTAACAAATCTGTGGATTACTCGGTTGACTTGATACTTACAAAATTCCACTAAAACATATTCATTATCTTTGATGGCTTCTTTAAAATTGCCTTTGGTTAAAACCAAAACGTTGTCTTCCTCATCAATGCCACCCGCTGATACGCATAAAACAATGGCTAAGCCAAAAAACGCCAAGCGAATCATGTTTACTGGCACGTCCTGAACAGACTAACAGCTAGAAAGAGAAGAGTATTTAAGTTGAAAACGCTGACGGAAGAAGAGAAGGACCCTCAACGTGGCACTGCTTCAGCTTCCGGCTGGGGGTTCCATGTAGGGCCCGGCGTGTTGGTCCCCGATTGGCCTGATCCCGGTCACGTGATGGTGATACGTCTGCTAATCAAGGATATGGCTTTATATTTGTTCATATCTTGCCTTTATACATTCAATATCTAGATTTTTAATTGTTCATATGTAGATTTATATTTCTTCATATCTAGATTGATTTTTGTTCATATCTTAGTTTATGTTTCTGTATATATTGGGTTACAATTTTTCATATCTTTCGTTTAGAATTATTCATCTTGTTAATTCTTGGCGCGGAAAAAGGTCCTTTACTTTTGTCAGGTGGGCCAAAAACCACTTGTCTCTTGTTTTGGTGGACCATGGGTGTAAAAAAAAAATATGTGGGCGGGCCAAAAAAATCTATGGTTCTATCCCAATATCTCCCCCCCCCCCCTTTCCCAACTTCCAAACAGGCAGTCTAATATCTTAGGGAGTGGTAGATAGGCTGCTTGCAGTCGTGGGACCTAGGCTGCACTCTCTCGTGGGACTTAGGTAGGTTGGGGTTAGGGCCATTTCTAGATGTTTTGGGTAAGCATCAGAAAGCTGGGTTACCAGCTCTTCCCACCCTGGTTTATTTATTCCCACATTCGGAAATATTGGACGGTCCTGAGACGTCATCCTGTGGGGAGATATCGGGAAAGCGCCAAAGATATTTTGCCTAGTCATATAACGGGATGGGATAGGTTGTTCTTCTTTTTCGGGGTTACAGTCTGTAGGAATACCACTTACACGATGGACATAAAATAAGCGAAAATCCAGGAAACTCAGTTCAGCCGGTAACATTAGGAGTAAGGCAAGGGTGTTTTTTTTTTTTTAACTTTTACTTTTTATAACATTCAAGGACATGATTATTAATTGATATACTTCGAAAGCACAGACTGTATACTTCGATTGCACACACTATACTTCAAGGAACAACTGGGCCGGGTTGGGGGGTGGATGACAAAGAACAGCCTGGGATGACAACATTAGGAAATGGAGTCCAATTAGGAAATGGACATGATTATATTATTATATATTAGTTCAACAGGCGGAAGTCGGCGAAAGAGGGCGGGTTTTGTGTGCTAGTGCTTCCATCGATACACCTCCCCCGATAACAACAGGTCAAGGGTCATATTATGTACGGTAGGCAGGTGCTTGGCTGGGGAAAAAATCGTCATGTTCAACCAGCATTTCCGGAGGGGGAGCTTTAAGTTATAATTGTGACCAAGTTATGTGCGCCATATAAAATGGCATAGCACTGCAGGCCACCAAAAGCCCTGAAAAGAACTCCTACCGTGCTGATGCGATCAAAGAAGCATACCCAATACTGTTCCGACTGGCGACGAAGTCGTCTACTGACGAGCGAGCCAATCGCCGATATGTATAATATATATTTCCACAACAGACTAACTGACAAAGGCCACTTCATTAGCCAGAGACTATAGTAATAAACACGACTCAACACCCCCGATAGCTATCATAGACGATCAAAGGCTGTAAAATTTGACAACTGAATATATAACAAAGCAACCTGGCGCACTAGATGACTGAAAAGACAGTTCAATTATTTTATTTGGCTGTATGACCATGGGCGCCTACCTAGCGGAAACACGGGAGAAGGAGGGGGGCATTGCTTTGACCCTTACACATTTTCTAGGGGCCTCCGTGTGCATGAGCCCTGTATAAGTGTGTAATAACATAATTATGTGGCTAAAAATATAATGATCTATTGGAAAAAAATATTTTACGAAATAAAGAACATTATATGCAATCTTTCCTTCACAACTGAGACGAGAGAGAGAATTCTACAGAACTTTATAAATAATGTCCTGATTTGCGGAGAGAGAAGATGCTGGTCAGTTTGATATCGTGGCCTGGTAGATCATCAGTGTCAGAATTAATTTGAAGTAGACAAGACAGAAGGTTGTGAATAGACATGACTACACGCGTTATACGACAGGGCATATAAGAAGAAGATCTGAAATAACATTTAAATGTTAAAATAAAAAATTAAACAGATAACTTCTGTACATGAGTTGTGAGTAATGAATTAAGTTATCTTCACGGCACTCCGGATACGTCCATAGGTGCTCAGATTCCCCTTTCAACATGTACATCAACGTCCTGCAATTGATAGTTTCAGTCCTATGTTGCTTGACAAGTCTTCTAGTGGGTTAGGTGTGCCTCTCGTGCCTGATTGTGCCGATCTTTACTCCCGATTCTTGCACCTTTGACGTCGATACATGGTTAGAGAAGCACGCTTACCCCCCCCCCCCCCCCCCCCCCGACCATCCCTCAAGGTTCCAGCGCCAAAGTACGCGAAAGGAAAATTCGTTAGAGCTGACATGAGAAAAATAATCTTTGTGTGTGTGTGTGTGTGCGCGCGCGCGCTATTATTAAAGTCAGAAACTGGAGATGAGCAGTACTTCGTCGCCAGTCGGCAGTTTTAGATTTTCTCTTATGTAATCTTTCCATCTTGTTCTTAGTCTTCCTTGTGCTCTACGCCCTTCTCTTGTTTTAGTGCAGGCCTTGGATAGTGGGCGGCGTCTGTTGCTTAGTCGTTGTGAGTCCGGTTCGTAATTCCAACGTACCGCGATTGTAACCTTCTGCTAGCTGCATGGATTTTTATCATGTTATGGGGCGTCGCAAGTCGACCTAGCATAAAATGGGCCTCAGGATGGATGTCCTGGGAGAAGTAAAGGCGATCGGCGTAATGCTAACCACGTTACCCACCTAGTGCCAATTGGTCTGTTAAAATATGGGTGTTCTTTCAATATGCCCGATGCGTCTAAAGGCATAAAAGGGATCTTTACTTTACTTGTATTGAGGACAAACTATGAGAGTTATTGTCTTAGTACGTAATTTATAATTGGTTCTTCCCCGTGTGGGTTCCGGGGCTATATTATATGGAAAACAAGAATAGACCCACTGCCTACCCATTGGATGTCGTAAAAGTTGACTAATTGGGAGCTTCCTTCGAAGTCGGAGCGCATCTGCCTGACAGGCAAGGAACCAACAGTCTGCACATACATTAGTCAGATCTGTCGAACGGGTGCACATGAAGCACTCGAGTTCTGGAATAGGAGGACTGCAGTCCAGAAGTGGATGAATAACCAGAACTTTCCACCGGAGTTTACAGCCAGTGAACGCGATGAAGAAGAAGATAATTGGTTCTGTGCCCACTTTTTATCTTATAACCTTGTCCTGATTGCTTCTCTTCTGGTCACTTCCGCAGAGAGAATTAATGATGACAAATCAGTACCGCGGTTGTTGTTGCTCTTGTTAGTCCATCACTTGTGATGATGACCAGTCCTTTCATCCAATGATGTCTGGATGTGGTTTTGTGCGTGCACAGATGGCGCTCAATTTGTACAGATTTTCGTACCGCGGTATGAGGCTAACACATAAACAACGTGACCTGGGAGTGGGGCTTTGTAAAGCATATTCCATCTTCAATGTCAAGACAGCGGACACTGTAACCAACTTCTCATGGTAATACTCAGTAGAGATATTCAGGAGAAGCTACTGCCTAGGAGGGCCAGGCAGGCAGGGAAATGCCCATTGATAACAGTTAAACAAATACTATAGTATGTTCCTAAGTAGAATTATCAACATTTTCTGGGCAGATACAATCTCACACACTATACTTCAAGTCCCAAACCAAGAAATTTTAGACAGTATGATAATCAAGAGAAGATGGAAATAGCTTGGTCACATTATGAGAATTAATCCTGATATACCTGCAAAAACAGCTCTCACATGGACACCAGAGGGAAAGAGAAAACAAGGGCGCCCAAAAACAACATGGAGACGAACGATAGAAAGTGACCTGAGTGCAGCATCTTTGACATGGAAAACTGCACTGAAGATTGCACAGGACAGGAAAGCATGGAAAGTCCTCTCTGAAGCCTCAAGTGTCACTAGGCATAACGAGAACTGATGATGATAGTATGTTTCAAAATTCGTGCTCTCACAATTAAATAAATATCTCGAAAACTCCTGTAGGATTTTCCCAGCCCTTGTGATTTTGTAATTGACAAGTACTGCTGTTTTGTTAAAGCGGTAAATTTCTTTGATCTTTGTTTAATTAATAATATATGCACCCCTAAACAATAGAATAAACAGTAACTGACACACGTGTGCAAATTGTTTGGAAACCGGTTCATAAGTGTAGAGATACGAGTTGATTATTTTGATAGCATATCACGTATACAATGAAAACTTCCCATCCGCGGATGACTATGTCGGAGATGACCACCCATGAGTGAAAAGCCTATAAAACGCGTGTAGATTGATGTTTTGTCGAATTTCCGTTACTCCTTTTACTCAAGCACGCTGTTTGTTTAATGTTGACCAGTGGCGATCATCATTAACTCTGTGAGTCGCAAGGAACGCATCATACGTTCATAGGTTACTGCACAGACGCCCAATGAACGCATAATGCGCCGATTTTACGTCTCTCTTGACTACCCCTTGGGCCTGTGATGCTAAACCCTCTGGGACTCAAAGAGTTCAAATCGGCTCTTTTTTTAATATAAGGCAAAATGAAAACAAGATGTTTGTTTACACTGAAACAAAGATTGTTACAAGGACATCATATGTAACAAATTGCATGCCAAATTTCAACAACTTATAACTAATGGTTTAGATTTTTAAAGCTGGGCAGAACTTCTGAACGGACTATAATAACATACAAACCTTCATTAACCGGCGTATGCGCACAACAGAGAACATTAATTGTATGACAGAATCACTAGTGTCGAGCTTTACAAGATAAGTAAATGAATTCTAATAAATCAACAGGTGAAGAAAAGACGCTGGTGTTGGCCAGGACACAGGTTAAGAAAACATTAAAACATTTCAACAGGAATCTCTGTACA